TAATTACTTTCAAAACTGCAAACAAGAAGTTTCATTTTAATTCGGTACTAGTAATAGGTAGGTATTGCCCACTTTCAAAATTCGAAAAAAGTGGGCCCTGGGAAGCGGATCTTATTATGCAGTAAGAAAAAACAATAACTATGCATCTGCATAACAATAAAAAAGTAAATGATTAAATCCGAATGGACACCATTGTATAAAAAATCAATTATGAAGGATTATGAATTGGTTAAAACTTTTAAGTATTAAGACTGAAGCAAAGTTTAAAAGCCAGCACTTGTTGAAATTAGACATATCGTAGAGTGCATCTGCTATTAAATATTATTAGACATGACTAAAGTTGCACAGGATCCGCTATTTAGCTCGCTTTTGACATTCTAGCTATTTTTGTTTGGGCCAACCCGGCAATGAAGTTACTAATTCAACACACATCTAGGTCAAAAGTCAAATCTTTTTATGAATATTACCAGTAAGGAAAAGTCCAAAGTCGAGCGGGGCTGACTATGTGATACCCTACACCACTATGCATATTTAGAAGAGCTCCCGTAACAAAAGAATTTGTTTGAAATAGATTCTACCACCTATCAACATTTGGCTTTAGAGCAATTATAATTTGGTTTCAAAGTGAAGTAATATATGAGGGCATATCCAATTCTTAATCGATTTTCAATAAATTTGACAGAGATATTTTTACCTTTAATACCAAATAACATTACTATAGAGTGCATGTTATCACTTCGATCACTTTAATATAATCATTATATTAAAAACATATGTATCGGAGCCGAGTTCCACCAAATGAAAACGTACGTCCCGCAATCCACTATATTTGGACTGATATTAGCCATTATTTGGACAATAAACCTGAAATCGGATTATGGATATGGGACCTTTATCCAAATCTCAGCCGATCTCGCTAAAATTTGTATTTCCGAACTCTATAAGATATCTGGTACCAAATGTCATTCTTATGTAGTGGATATTACCAATGTGAGGGACTTAAACCTCAAATCGGATGAAACATGTATATCGGAGCTAAAGCTATATCTTAGACGATTTTAACCAAATTTGATGTACTGTCTTCTATGCTGAATTCCGCCGGAAGTGTCAAATTTAAGGTCACACAGATATGGGCCATTTAGTGTACCGAAATCGGTTGAAGATATATATGGGTGCTTTATCTAAATATGTGAACCGATTCTCACCAATTCCCATAGAGTTTGTCCTTGGGCCAAATAAATATTGTCTGGAAAATTTCATCTCAATTGGATAATAATGCAGGTCGCATGCATTTTGTTCAGAAGAATACATGGACGGACAGTCCGACTGGCATGCATAAATCGACTCAGAAAGTGATTCTACTTTGATCTGTGATCTTTACTAACTTTGTCATTCTATCTCGCTTCCTTCTCCATGTTACAAACAAATGCACAAAGATATAATACCCTCGATAGTCTATATATATATATAGACTATCGACAGCTACCGTTATGTATATCTCATTTTCAATACCAACCATTCTAGACACAATACAAACTATTGTGACAAATTTTTAATCTCTACGTCAAATAATGTGGGCTGTATCGTGATTTCAATAGACGGATAGACAGACAGAAGGATAGACAGACAGACATCGTTAAATATACATAACGGTAGCTGTCTATATTCGGTATTTTGATGGTTTTTCCACCAATTGGTTTGTAGTTCGTTATGGGTTCTAGCTCCAGTTGCTAAACATTGTATTTATAGGTCCACGTTTTCGTATATTTCCCATACCTAACGATATTGGGTATTTTCATGATATTTGCCACATTTTCATGGGTTTGTCTAACAAATGGCATTCGTTGTTTGCAATGGATTACAATCTTTGTAGCATAAAATTTTCTATATATAGGCTCCTGTTTTGGTATGGCCCCATATAATGGCTCCAACCACTATATTGTTTTTTGAAAACTTTAACTGCATTCTCCTATCGATATTACTGGAGTTTGTAGTTTAAGGCGAACACGTTTGAAACCAGATAATGTTTTATAAAAATATTTTTTTTTGTCCAATGGTGGGGGAAAAGTTCAGCCCGGCCGAATTTAATGATTTTTACTTGTTTACCAAAGACAGAAATAAACTCTACTTATCTGTTGTTGTTGTTGTTGTAGCAGTAGTACATGTAGATGTTTGTATTCTGCTAATCTGGTTCAAGCTCCAGGTTTAAAACCAGAGATATTCTGGAGTGAGTTGGGTAGGCTTGGTGGTGCAATTAAAGAGGTGCAGCGTATTGTGTGGGTCTGTATCACACACGGGCAGACGTCACGCACATCTTCGTCAATTCGTGCCCAATACGAATTGAGACGACTGTATCATCCCGATCGTAATTACGCCAAAACTACCCTGGTTTGTCTAGGCAGCTGTCGTTCTTGAGCTGCAATGGACTGTAATGGAAAGGCTGCCGTTCTTCATATAGGGGGGGACTGCGAGGACGTCATTCACTCTGTAATTGCCAATGGCATCTGCGACTGCATCGGTATGAATGCTACTCGGACCTTATAGCGTTGGACATCTCTTTCAAGATCATGTATGTCCTATCTAACACTCCTGGGTGGGGGACTTGCATCCACCATATGGTGGTTGGAATGGCTCACACGGTAACACTTCAACGAAAGCATATGATTATGCTGACGTAAGGGAAGGACTTTTGACTCCTCATGTAGATGGTCCACTGGTGTCATGAGGAGTTGCCCTGTCGTACTTCTCAGGGCAGCATTCTGACAGACCTGGATTCGTTTCCACTGCGTAGCACTAGTATTCTCAGACCACACGCATAGCTGACCAAAGACCGACCCAACGCTTTATAAGAGGTCAAGATTTCCTTGTCCACACCCCAAGTGCTGCCGACTAGCGCCTTGAGGACATTGTTCCTACTTTTCATCTTGTACTTGATAGCTGTGGCTTGCGCGGACAACTTGAACATTCAGCTGTGTTTTCATCTCCGTAGAATGTGGCGGATAGTTTCATATTCTTCGCGTGGAAGTATGCGGCAAGCTCCGCGAGATAGGGGTTCAACCTTTCACATATGTCCATTTTATAACAAAATGTGACGAAGACGTACACTTGTAGAGACTTGTATTAAAAATCCCAAAATAAAAATAAATAATAAAATTCGATTAAGAGTTGAAAAGAACAAGTTAATAGGGCTTAAATTTCGGCCGGGCTGGACCGAACCCTTATATGGGGGTTATACTTGAATCAATTTTTTTTTGCAAGGAGAGAACAGACATTCCCTGTACCCCATTTGTCATGTTTCAGCTAATTTAGTTGGAAATTGTGGCAGAAACCTTAAAAAAAACGAAAATCTGGAGGAAAAATACCAAAAATCTAAAAATACCGTTATATGGATGCAATACCTAAACGTGCACCTATATAGCCCCAATACCAATCAGCTTGCATATAATATAAAACTTTGTGCCAAATTTCAAAGTTCTCGATTAAATAATGTGGACTCTATTGTGATTTCAATAGACAGATGGACATCGCTAAATCGACTTAAAATTAGGTGTGTCTGGTTACTTTTCCTGCAGGAATTGTCCAGCAACATTTTTCTGAGAGAGTAAGGTAGTTTTATTCTCTTTTGCAAGAAAATTGCAAATAGTAAACAGACGGTATTCCTGCAGAAGCTTGCAACTAATCAACTGATTTGTCAAAACAAACCAATTTGTCTCCCATTAAAAGAATTAAACGAAAGGAACCTCCACCAATTTCACAAGTTTTATAAATAAAAAGGAAATTGACAATAAAATAAAAATATGAGCAATAAAAGGAAGATAGATTTTATGTGTTCTGTGGAATTATTTAAACCTATTGCTAATGGAAATTGTCTAAAAATGTTGGAAATAGTCTTTTATTTTCTTATTACATATTAATATTTATGTTTTTCACATTTTGTAAAGTTGTTTTCCAAAAACAATTAGTCTTGCTAATTCCAAAACAATATTTTCAAATTAAAATCACAAAAAGAAATAAATAAACAATAAAAAACATCTGATTGAATGTCGATGAATGAGAAGAAGAGTTGCAAGAGATTGCAAGGAGAAATTTGTCCAGCAAGAATTTGCAAACTCTCACTGAAAGAACTGTCAAAATTTCTCTCTCCAACCGCTCTCTTTTGCAGAACTTTCGGGTTAACAGACGACTTCCAGTAACAATTTGTAACAATTGTTACAAATTTTAGGGTAACCAGACACACCTATTCTCATTTTCTCATGTTTATACATTTGTAATTTTTATAGATGGACATTGCACATTGCCTATTTTAGTTCTATACGATATTATTCAACAATTTCAGACCGAAAAATACCGAATGTAGCTGTTTTATAAGGGTCTATACGAAGACTTGGACCTGCATTGGTAAATTTTGTCAAAGGCATTACTATATTTAAATGAGAAACTAAAAAAAATCGGTGAATAATGTAGCTAAAATCATCAAAATACCGAATATCTGGAGGTACCGTTATATGGGGGCTGTACGAACGTGGACCTGCAAAGACAATCTTCTGTAATAGGCTGTAATATCCATTCCGAACTTCAAATACCAAATTTGAAACAATTTCGGTGAATTATGTCGCTAGGTACCGTTATATGGGGGCTGTACGAAGACGTGAACCTGCACAGACAATTTTCTGTCCTAGGCTGTCATCAATCAATTACTTTGTTTTAGGAAAAAATTTTTATATTCCTTCAATATCTTGCAACAGTATCATTGAAGTTTAAGTTTTAGCTCATGGGCATAGTTGAAGGCTATGCCACAGGTATTGAGGTAAAATAATTGCCGTACTATGGGGTTCTTTATTGTATTTCAACTATTTTAAAATTCATCACAATAGAAGTTTCTATGAAAAGCTGTTATTTTATTGATCAAAACATGTATACCAACAATTTTCATAGATTTGGTTCCTCAAATAATATACTTACGACATATTTGCTCCAAATAAGAAGTCGCCGTGATATTTTATTTTTTTTTTAATTTTCAATAATAGTTCTTCATTGTTTTTTTTTTAATGTTTATTAATGAGTTCCATTACATAATTTCTATTGCTATCTTTAATAATAGTAATAATAATTAATTCAGTTTCTTCGTATTCTTGTTTTTTTTTTTTTATTAAATATAGTAAACCAATTATCGAAAATTAACATAAATACACAGACAGGTGTATTAAATATTTATATACAAATTTAATAAAAAATATAATACCAGTATATTGGGAAATAGATAAAGTAGATGACAAAGTTAAAAAAAAACACAGCAGACATAAGGAATAGTAATAAAAAATTATATATTATATAGGACTATTCAATGATTTACAAAAAAAGACTTTCTACCAAAAATTACAAAATTCTAATAAAAAACTCTAAATAGGAATAATAAACTACTTATATATTTAATTATCAGATAATTATCGTGGAGTAGATGTAGTTGTTTCATTGTTGTTGTCATAATGGTTTTTCTTTATAAAGCTAATTTAAATTACAGCAAAATTATGAAGATATAATGTATTATAGAAAAAAAAAACATAATTGAATTTATACAATAACAATAATAATAATAATGTGGTTATTAGTTAATTCATTAATTATCATTACTTACAGAGAATGGCATTAAATGCTAAATGAAATTACAAACTGTTATCAATAGAACGAACAAAGAAAACATTAAAATTATAGATCAATATAATTAAGAAATCGTCATTATGGGATATAATTTAGGTTCTATAACAACTTTTTGTATTAGATTCAAATACATTATGGACAAGACAAGAAGGACTCAACATACAAAGAGACTGAATAAAAAACAATTTGAGAAGTTCTAAAAATACATGTTATTTTTTGTCTTTTCAATTTGATTTTAATGTAAGCTCAATTTTTTATCCATTGAGTTTCTATTCTTTTGATAGTTTTTTTTTTTTCTAAGCATTTTTTGTGTCATTGAATTTAAGCCAAAATGAATTGTGGTTAAGTGTGTATTTTGTGTCTGTTTTGTTTGAGTTTGGGTATGAAGTATCTAAATGGTCTATTAAGACTAGTTTTGTTAATTACTATTTTACAAAAAGGACATTTTACGTGTAATTATATGTGTTTTTCTAATTATCCTGAGCCTAAAGAAATACAAAGAAGTGTTAATTATTTTCAATTAATATATCATTTTTTTTAAATTTAGTAAATTTATAAATAAAGTATATAAAAATAAAAATGATGTTAGCAACAAATAATTTATACAAAAGAGAGTACCACTAGAGGACAAATGCAAATGGTGTACTAGTTTTGTGTAGAATCATAAACAATTTTAAGGTATTTGATGTCATTAACCAAATGAACAAAGTAGCCCAATTTTGGACTTGCTATTTACAGTATTTAGCTGTACAGTATTCAGCAGTTTTGACAAAGCATTTTTGACAAAGTCTATGGTTTTCACAACAAACAGCAAACGAATTAGACGCAAAATTTCCAAAAATGCAATAACAAGATTTTCAAATTTTATGGTTGTATCTTCTATTTGGTCGATTGTTTGAATAATTCTTAAATTTGTCATTTTTTTTTACAAATATTTAAATATGTTGAACTTAAAATGACCTGTGAGTTTTGTATATTTTTTGAAAAACTGTTCCTTTATTTTGCATGAAATGAAATCATGAAATAATTTTTAAATGTTTTTGTATATTATGTCCTGTCATATGCAATATTATCATAAAGGCGTTGAAAATTCCCGAAGTTACGTATTTAAAAAACTCTCTTTACGCAACTCATTCAAACCACGGAACGATATTTATCATATGTAAACTTTCATTAAAATTCGAGCAAATTAAAAATTAAAATCACATAGAATTCCGCGCGAATATTCATGGTTAAGCCGTTAATGTTTTATTTTTTTACTGAATAATCAAGACCAATTATATGTTGACAATGGTTCTACAAGAAAACGGGTACATCACTTGCATATATCTTCTACACTTAGATGTATAAGACGTAACCATGTATTGTTAAATGGAGATTTTTTCCGAGAACATACGTTTTTTCTTAACAATAAACAATAAGATATCTGAAATATCTGAGATGTATCATCAAGTTATTGTTTATAAGAAGATTTGAGCAAAATATGGAAATACATTTAAACAAATTATTTCTCTAGTAAACATGGTAGATTCAACATTGCGATCACAATAAAATCTAACAGCAAAACACACATGTATAGAAATGGAAAATATATATTAAGAAATTGTAATTAGTTCTTGAAACAAATTCATAGAAGACAATTGGATACAAAAAATTACGATTTACACTTCTTAACAAACATAATTACAGAATTACAAAAAAAGAAAAATAAAAATGTATAGTTTACAATGTTTGAGTTTATGTTACAAATTCTTATATAGAAAATAAAATATACTTCTAAAAATTAATTCAAATAATCAACACTTCTATAGTAACGATTAACAGAGTCGCTGGACCAGCGAGCCGATAGGGCAACATCATAGCTGAAATCCACCAAATCATCAACATCATCGTCCTCCTCAACACGATTTATTATGATATCACCTCCAATATCCCCAACATTATCACCATCGTCATCATCACAATAATTGTTGCCATCATTAATGCGCTCATCTTTAATTAGATCTTCATAGCGGTATTCACGTGGTGTACCCGTACCGCTATATTCTGATTCTGGTTGTTGTTGCCACGATCCGTAATCACCGGATGTATCGACATTGTACTCACGGCAGTGAATTCATAGATGATATGGCACTATTTGTTGCGGTGTCCGTGTGTTGGACATGATGAACTTGAAAAGGATTTAGGACACGTCGCAGCAATGATTCCGAAGATTTTAGTAGAGATTCTTTACTTCTTTCTTTTTTGATTTTGGACATATGTACATTCTGGCTTGGCACTTGTAAATAATCCATTTTCTTCAGACTTTCCTCTGGCTCCTCTTCCACAATGCCCAGGCTATCGATAGATAACTCATCTTCCATATCCATGGAACCATAATCAATGGTCACCAAAATATTATCACTGCCTGGATCCGAAGAGCTCATGTATGAGGCATATGATGTGTAAATGTCAATTTCCTCTTCGTTTTCCAATGAGACTGGAACATCATCATCATCACCCTGGTACATTAAAATTGAGTCATTGCGATTTCTTTCCGATGCCGATGTTTCCTCTAATAGTTCTCGTTCAAAATATTGACTCAATGTAACCTTATTAGACATTGAACGTTGCACCGTTTTCTTTGGTACAGATGTCACAGGTTCTGTCGCAGCAGTTACAGCTATAGTCGTCGCGTCATTTACCAGATCCTCTTCAAAATATTGATTCAATGCCGATTTGAGTTCCTTTATATAACCATAATTTTTGTCAAATGAAAAATTCTGTCATTGCCGGAACGAGTCAAATGAAAAGTCGCAATTTTGGGAGCAGAAGAAGTAGAAGAGGCAATATATAAGCATCAGCATCATTCAAAGCAAAATAAAAAAAGTACATAAAAGAAAAAAATTATTAGAATTTGGTAAAGGAAGTATTTTAAACTTAAATTAATTGGAAATTAAACAAAACTTATTTTTTACACTTAAAAGTTATGTTACTAAAAATATATTTACAATGTTTTATTTTTATAGGTTTAGCTACAATCTGATTGTGTTAGGCAACAGGGATAATAGGGATTAGTTTACCAATAAAACGCAATAAAAAATGAAATGAATTTAAAGATTCAATAAAAAAATAACTCAAACCGATTGAACTTATCACAGTCCACCAATAAAAATGTTTTTTATTGCGACTAAAATGGATATAATTGATACTTAATTTTGAAAACTTAAAGGATTTAAGATATAAAGTAAGAATCCGTTGACATTGAAATTATAAAACAATTTTGGTCGATCTACATATTTAACCCTTGCTCAAAAAATATTCCCTCATCTATTAAGTGAAAGACATAACTTTTACTCGAACTAAACTAAAACTGGCCTTTTAATTCTGGTATAACTAAATATGAGTTCACATTGACCTGATGATGCCTTGTCTGAGAATTGCATTTTGCGTTAATGAGAATATATGTATAAAAAATTAAAGTTGATATGTTTAAAATGCTCACTGGAGACGAGAATATCTGATAACTGTTTTATAAAAACTGTCATACAGCATTTATTTCCCTGATCTTTGCCTTCCAATGAAACTATTTGTAATAGGCCTGATTAATGCCAGAACTTAAATTATTTATACTGACTGCCCGAAACTTAAATGATTAATATTGGCCTATTATAATAACTCGGGGCTTTCGACAAAAATCTGTTTAGTTCATATTTCAAATAATAGCTACGAAGATAGTACCATCGGTTTAAAGGGATGTCTATGTATACAGAATAGAACAACGCATTACTAATTCTTAAATCAATTATTTGTAGGGCGGGCATGTCAAATGTAAAAAGTATTTATATAATTTGGTTAAAGTTATTAAATAATTTTTGTGGATTAAACGGCGCCTTAAATGTATAATTACTATTTCACTTACCCATAATTTAGGTTTGTTTAGTGAGGGGAAATTTTTGAATATTACAAAAAGAAGGGTAAGCTATTGTTCAGCTGTTGTCAACACGTGTCAATGAGTGTCTTAACTTATTGGGTGCTCTAACTAAACTCTAAATCTACTGACTAAAACTAAATTAAACTAATAAAAGGGGAAAGAAAACAAACAAAACTTACGGATAGAAACTGCCAAATCAATCGTACGACTTTCATTTCATTCACACTCTACCTCGTTGGGAAGAGGCTTAAGATAGTTTTTCATTTTACGTGGCAAAATTTATTGAAAGAAATTATTTAGACAACAATTCTTGGGCAACGACGGCAATGACGCACCAACGACGATGATGATATTGATGAGGGTGAGATTAATGCTTTATGAAGAGTATTTCAATTTGACCGTTTTTATTTTGCCATGATGAATTTGGTTAGCTCAGCTCCATACACAGAAATCTTTATATCCTTATATAAACACACACACACACAAATATACTCGAGCAGGCAGGCAGGTAGCCAGGCAGCCAACATCCTTCTTCCTTCATATACTTTCCAGATATTTAGTTAATACTTTGAGATCCAAAACCACATATAAGGCTTATTGCGCATTTTTTGTTTGATTAGCATGATTCCATATCCTTGGTGATTTATTTTTTTATATGCAATTGGGTAAAGATGGTGGTAGTAGACATTTATATCTTACAGAGTAGTAGTGGTAGTAGCTGTAACCCCAAGCCTTTATAATTTTGCATTGTGTTTTCAACTGGTACGTACATACGTTGCAATATATCTTCAAACGCTTTTCAACGGTTTACATTTGTATTTGTATCTTTGTCTGTAACTTTTGTGATTTTGTCTTATCTGTTAGCCAATGCATGATGTGATGATGGTTCGGTTTTAAGGGGACATTAGTTTTAATATTGATTAATGCACAAATACTTTATCCAGTGAGCAGAGTACGACAAATTTATCGTATGCTAGGTCCAAGAAGTACATATTTAGCGAATCATTCATTGATTGTATGCTGAGTATGTCTATGTGTATGTTTTTAGTTATGTGTTTTATTTTTGATTTTTCTTTTCACATGCAATTATTATTTCATTAATTATATTCATTTGGATGCTAAGATTTTCGAAATACGTTTCTATTATTTTTTTGATAAATATTTTGAAGAGGGAAAAAAGTAGGGAACACATTTGTTGTGTTTTGTCGTTTTGTTGAATTATTATTATTTTTTTGTATTGCATTTGGGGATACAATTGGTTGTGTGAAGGATATTTGGTGTTGAAGTAGACAGATGGTGGTGGTGGTAGACAGGATATTTTGATTTGAGGTACAGACAGTGTATATATAAAATATATAAAAAAGTTAAAAAAGAACAAATACAGAGAAATTAGATACATTTCGTTGTAGTAGTGTTTTGTTGTTAAATTTTTGGTTGGTTAACACATTATAAGCTGTTATTTGCATAAATGGATTAGGTATTTTAACAAAATCAAAGGAAATGAAGGGGATTTTATGATTAATATAATATTTGTTGTAGCAAGATAATTATGACAATGAATGATTGATTATGAGTAATGGGGTGGGGTTTTCAAGTATTTGGTTGTTAGTATTTTCCACTGATTACCAATGTTTCATGAGACCGATGAATTACCAAATTTTACAAATGAGTTTAATAACATGAGAGAATTTTGTGATATTTCAACTATCTACAGTCTGTATTTTATATTTAATTATATCAATGTTTTAGTTTTATTATTTAATAGAAACATCTTACAAACAAAAATTTTCATAAAAATTAATTTAAAAAGATATTAAAAATAATATCAACGAAATTAAAGATTTTTAGTATTAACAATTGTGAAAATAAAAAAAAATTCCAAAGAAATACAATCAAAATAAAATGGAGGATATGCTATTGATAACCGACTGATGTCTTTTAAAGAAATAGAAAGCATGTGGGGTCAGAGTTAAAGAATTTAAAAATCCCGTGTACAAAGTTTAAGAAGAGACGTTTTTTTTTTGTATGTCTCGGACTTATATCAAGAAGAAATCTTTCTACAAATTGCTTGCAGTTATAAATTCATTTGCAAGCTCAATTTTATATAGGTTTCATATAGAAAATGGCGAAATGAAAACGAGAAGGTTTTTTGTATGTCAAAAACATATATCAAGAAGGAGTCTTTCTACAAATAGCCTGACGTTATAAATTCATTTCCACGCTCAAGTTTATATGAGTTTCATATAGAAAAAAGGAAAGGAAAATGATATTTAATGCTTCGTTTTTAAAATAGAGGAATCTATATAAAACAAAACAACAAGCCTGAATGATTGTGCTTAGTTAGAACCAAGTTTACAATTCACAAGAGTGGAAAAACATTACCCTAAACAAATTAAAAACGCCATGAAAATATGGAAAAATATTTATATATAATTGAGTGTATTTCTGATTTTTAATGTCAATTTTATATGATTTGCATAAGTCTAGCCATTATTTTTAATGATCTTCAAGAAAAAATTAAAATAAACATTTAACTTAAATATAAAAACGTAAACATTAATTTCCTTAAATAAACAGAAAATAATAAATGATACCTAAACTATAAACATAGTTACAAAAAAATGTATAACCTAGGTCCGTCTTCGCATTATTTGTTTCAAGTTAATTGAAACAAAACATTCTAAATAATAATAATAATAATAATTGCAAAATATACAAGTTAATATCAACAAATGGATGTATTTTATAGGCAAGGAAAATGGGACTTTTTAATTTCACCATAAACACGCTGCTTATGGAGAGAAACTATATTTGTCTGACTCTGATTTACAAGTGATTAATAAGGGCAAATATTTCAACTTATTTTGAGTTTTAAGTTTTCTGAATCAACTATTAATACATCCATTAGTTGATAGCAAAATTTTTACAAAACACTTCAGTGCAGTTCATATTAGGTTTTCTTAACTCGATAGGCAAGTCTTTTATTATTTCGTTATTGGTATTTATAGTTATTATTTCACACAATACTATGGATAAGACATTCCAATGATTAGCAAATGAATGAAACGAACAAAAAAAAAAAAAAAGAAACAAACAAAAATGTATTTTATAAATTAAAATGCTAACGTAACCTAAAGATAAATAACTATATTTAATTAAGGTTAAATTATTAAAAAAAAAAACAAAACGAAACTTATAACAAACAACTATAATTGTTTGTTATCACATAATTGCAGTATACAATTCAATGGTGTATTTGTTTTTATTGTTGTTTTATTTTAAGGTTTATTTTTAACAAAATATATAATACACAATGAAATGAAAACACAAACACTGTTTATTGCAGCACGCATGACCTTTACAATGACGCGATCAATGAGAAATTTTTAACAAATGTAGATCACGACATTGAAAATTAATCACATCTGATTATTTGTTAGACAATCTTGAAAATTGCAGAATCTTTTCTCATAATGTAAACTGGGTAACTATACATATTTTCAAGAAATCAATGTTTCCGATCAAAACAAATATTTTTGTTAAATTGTGATAATTCTTGATAATTCCATTATTTTAGAGCATTTATTTATTATTTTTTTTATTTATTTTTTTATTTTTATTTATTTATTTTTTTTTTTTTTGGTGAAGTAACTTCTTAGATATTTACACATCAAATGGGAAGGATATCACATACATAATCGATTGTAAAACGGAAGTAACTAGCTAGGCGACAGAAACCAATTTTGATCTCATTAGAAAACCAGATTTTGAAAAGTCCATGTATGAAACTAAATTGAAGACCCCCTACAGCTTTGTAGATACAGTGAAACCAGATATCTATTTTATTTGTTTATTACAAGTGACAGAAAAAAGGAAGACGTTCGTTAAAAATGCTTTAAAAAGAGAGTTCTTACTTTTTAACAAACTGTTTGACAGATTTTAAAGACGAATTCTTATTTTTTATGTATAGATTTTTTCGACATGAGCCGTTCCAGTCTCAGTTTCGAAGTAAGACACATTTGGGAAAGTGGAAACTGAACAATTCACAAACTTTAGTTGTTAGCCAATAACATTCTCGATTACCATAAGAAAAATAAGATTTCTGTTATATTTATTTCATATATTTTCGGGTTATTAACAGATAACACTCCCTTAACCACAAAATGCCAATGTATACAGTTTGAAAAGCAAAATTTAAACCGACTTTAAGCAAATTTAACAACCAACCAGATGTATTATTAAAAATCCAAATTAATATTTTTGCAAAATGATGATATAAGCGAACATTGATGTTACCCAAAATACAAGGAGATACTGAACTGAATTGAGTTTTGTAGAGAAAAGATTGACAAAAAAAAAATTAGCAAACTTTGTTTTGTGTTGAGTTTTTGTTCTTTCACTTATGTTTTTGTTAAATAATTTCTTCTTTTATAATTACAATAATAATAATATAACATTATGTATTTTATGTCTACGATACTTATATTAACAATTACAATTAAATTAATAATAAAACGAATTAATAATTTATGTGTGAAGTATTGTAAATGACTTTGCATGATTATGTGATTTTGGGTTGGTTACATGTTAATTAATGGAAAATAAAGGAAATGAGAAGAAAAGGAGCGAAAGAAAAAAGACACAGAGAAATAAACTATGGCCAATGAAAACAAAGAAAAAAATATTTTCAAAATGATTTTGTTTCCAATAACAAAATATTATTGAAATAAATTAAAGGGGATCTAAGGGAAATTTAGCCTTTTTTACTCTTTTTGGTATTAAAGTTTTAAAGTATTTGTTTTCATCATTAGGATAATAAAGATACAAGCATATAGAACCTATGAATGTCATCTCCGCCAGAAAAGCATTAGAATTTTATTTTTAAGATATTTTAAGAAAATTAATAGCAGTTTGATTACCAAAGTTGTACATAGATAAAATCTTTGTTCAAACAAAAGAAAAAAATTATTTTTTTGAAGACGATAGTGTTATTTGGTTCTTACAGTTATTACATGGATTGAAGCTTATTTGAAACAAATGCTAAAGATTATCCTCTCTATTTCTTATCTAACAAATAACAACAATTGTATGTGGAGCAGATGACTATGCAATGATTACACACACAGTTTTTAAGACTTTGAAAGAGTTCTTTTCAAATACTTTAAAAAAATTATTAATACCAAATTAAGAAACGTACTTTAAATATTAGAAAAACAAACAATGGCAAACACTTGAAAAGAAATTTTAGGGAAAAAATTAATAAATGCGAGTGATCTGTAAATGGATGCAATAATGACATGATATGATTTACACAACAAAACAGGACACAACAACACTTGGTTATGTGGAAAGTGTGATTCGGATGGGCATGTTAGTTAACAGTATGAACCCATAGTTGTTTTGTTTTTTCCCAAGTGTGTATAATTTTATAGTATTGATTATGTACTAATATATGTTATATATGAAGCTTATGTAAAAATATATGCATGATCAAACGACCCTGACGCAAAGGATAAATGTGAGGGGAAAACAAACATTTTATAGCCGCTTTTTTCTTTTGATTTTCATTGTTTTTCTTTTAGTTCTCCATGTATAAGTATGTGTTTTTGTAAATATGTATATATAGAGAGAGACATAGAGAAAGAAAGTTACATAAATAGATAGTATGTTATGTTTATATTATTTATATGTATAGTTTAATGTATGTTTATGTTAGATTTTTATTAAGCCAACCCAAAAATGTTGATTTTAAAGTGCGTACCTTGCCACTATCGCTATCACTGGCAGTGCCGCCATTACCACCACCAATGCCGCCGCTGCCATGGGAGGACGAAGAATTTGATGTTACGCCAGCAACACTGTTTCCACTTATATTGCTATGGTGTAAATCATTTTCGGCTTGACGAGCGGCACGGGCTCCCATTACAGAGGCGCTGCTAAAACGTCGTGTGGCCACAGGATTGCTGTTGTTGCTGCTGCTAAGTCCTCCGCCTGTAGCTCTCCTCTGGAAGGGTGGAGGGGCTTGATTAGCAGAAAAATTACTCGTACTCAATTGCAAGTCTTTGCGTAACGAGGTGGTTAACTGAGCTGCTATCGATGAGGGTTTGGGCGTACTGCTAACTAAATAGCTACCCGTTGGTGCTGGTGATGTGGCCACCGTTGTTGTGGGAGTATTATCACTAGTATTACTACCGTTGGAATAATTGTGAGACTGATGTTGTTGATGCTGATGGCTGTGGTTATGAGCACGCGACAGAGAATCCATATGTCTGACTTTTGTTGATAGTGATTCTCTTTTTGGTTTGGGTAGTGGTGAATTTTGTAAAATTCTTGAGGACGGACTATTTAAAGTAGTTGTATTATTATTTCCTGTTGTTGTCGCCGTTGAACCACCTCCATATGATTTGGAAGCTGAACCATATGGTGTCGTAGCCAATGGTATAGAAGACGAGGTGGACGAGCGACTTGTGTTCGTGCTAAAAGATGACGACACATCCTTACGTATACTTTGTGCTGAATCTGCTCGCTTTAAGCTATTGGGCGATTTGGAATACAAGAGATTTCCAGTGCTACGGCTTAAAGGCGAACGACTTTGCGATGAACCTGATGAATTGGCAGATGGCGGTGAACGACCAGCGGTTGAAGGTCTACCAGATGGAGGTTTCCCTGTTAAGAAAAAATATTATAAAAGACAAAATTAATATCGGAATGTTTTTAAGAAGTTTGATATGAAAAAGAACATCCTATACACATAGTGTTGAAAACATTGGGATGTTAGTAGTAATTTTTGCTATATGGGCTAACTCCTTGAATGGTTTCAAAACGCAATTTTGTTTCCGCCCTGTGTTCTGTGTGTTCAACAAGTTCTGATATTCTCAGTGATTGATATTAAAATTTCTTAGCTATTCCAAGTTCTTTTTCCAATAGCACCGCTAATTTTCCAGTAAGAATAACTTTACTGATTTAGAAAATGTAAGGTATTCTCTCTAATATTAACAACAAACCCATGCCTGAATTGCAGAACACTCACAACATCCGGTTAAAACTTACCCGCAAAATAGGCTGCCGCCTTACTACCAGGCAATGGTATTTTACTTGGTTTTGTAGCGGTAACCCCACTGAACTTCTTTAGAGCTTGTACTTGATTCCTTATGGCCGTCACATGTTGCTGTTGTAGCTGTTGTTCGAATGGACTGACCCCACCCACACTGGTACTCATTAAGATTTGACGCATTTCACGACCGTTGTCTATTTTACTTGCCGCCATTTTGCTGCTGCTCATCACATCATTTTGTTTCTGTGGATGTTGCGAATCATGTTCATGAGCTGACTCTGTGCTACTACTGTGATGCTGCATATCGTCCATGGGCAAATGTGTCATTGCCTTCATGCTGGGTGTAGATATTTGCGTTGTAATAGGCTGCGGCATTTGTCCATTATGCTGTTGTGTTGGTGTTGACGAGCGAATATCACTTGGAGACTCCATGGCGAGACCACTGCCACCACGCCTACTCAGCATTAGGGTAGTGGAGGCCGATGAACGATTTGTTTCATAATCGTTTTGCGAGTGTAAATAGGAATTGGTGGCAGCACCGCTGCTGGGTGTAATCGAATGCAGTCTAGACTCTAAGACACGTAATTGCGCCTTAGTTCCTTCCAGTTCTATGCTCTTCTCTTCGAGCTGAAATAGAAAATTGGAATTCAATATTGTTCAAGATATTGTTATCACTCGGCATACCTGAAACCTTAAATCCTCTACATCATCTTTGGATTTGTCTAAACGTTTGACTAAATGACATTTTGCTTTTGAGGCAGCCTCCAGTTTTTGCATTAATATCTGATGAAAATGAAAGAGAAACACAATGAAACATGTCCATTATTTTGATAAATACTTGGAAAACCTACCTGATTTTTAACAGTCAATGTTAATAAATGTCTTTGTAATTCTATAACACTTGTCTCCAGGAGTATAGCAGCAAATCGCTTCGAATCGGTTGAACGACACTTTATTTCTCCCGGTGAACTAACAATGCCATCTAGGCGTCCCAACTGGTCCACAGCAAATGTTTGCTGTGACGATGTCGACTGTTGGTTGTTGTGTTTGTTATTATCACTGCCAGGGCTTTGATGGAATGCAATCGGTTCGTTAGACGAAGAATTTGTATGCTGTTGCTCCACGACCACGGGTTGGAATGTATTTTGTCTGGACGATGTTGCACTGACGGTTGACAAGACCGTCGTAGCCGAAGAGGAGAGGAAAGTTCTTGGGCTGGAATAGTCCGATTGACTGTGAAACAAAAAAAGAATTAGTGAAGGAGTTTGGTTTAGATATTTAATGTAGAACCAACCTGTTGGAACTTTTACTTTGTTGCTGCTGTTGTTGCTGTAGCTGTTGCACCCTAGAGTTTAACTCTAACCTTTGTGCCATGGCCAGCTTTAACTGCTCCTCCAAATCCTTCTTCACTTTAATTAGTTCCTCTACTTGCTCACTCATTTTGGTTGCCTTGATGCGGCCCGTCAAGGTCTCGGCCTCCATTTCGGCCAATTTATCCAGCAGACGATCACGTTCCCTGCGCAACTGCAGTATGTCCTCCCTATTTAGGCGTTCTACATGTTCGCGGAAGGTTTTTGGTGTTAAAGCTGTATTGGCACTACTGCTGCTGGACTTGGATACGCCGCCGGTGGCACCTTCTGTTGGGCCAGCTGCTGTGTCATCCGTATGATCTTCTGATCTGGCATTCGATCTCAGATGTTGGCGTTCATAGTTTTGCAAATGTTCAACTTCTTCGCGTAAGCGCGTTGATTTGCGATGTATGACATCTAGTAAATTTAAAAGTTCATCATCTGATTCGGGACAAGACAAACGATTTGAAGCAATGGTGCCCTGAATAGAGAAGGTGGAAAAATAATTAAAATATTGAAAAACAATAACACCATGGTGGTGGGAGATGAGTACGTACCGTCAAAGCACCATTTGTTGAGGAAGCACTGTGGCCCTCTTTTGAAGAACTAGTCTCTGTTGAGAATCCTGAATCTTGGACTACACTGCCATTATTGTTTTCCCCACTGGCAGCACTGCTGCTACCCACAACGCCACCTGAACTATTCTTTGGCTCTTTTTTCCCGCTATGCGAATTACTGCGACTCCTGGTCAGTGAAGATGAAGTCAAGTCTGTTGCGGAGGGATGGTTTGTTTCCTTTTGAGAGACTTTTCTCTTCACCCGAATGCCGGGTTCCCATTCTCGGCGCGAGACTAATGTACAGCCACTTGTAAGCGTGGTCGTCGATGCTGAACCACTTACGCTACCCGATTGGTTGCCACCACTACCCCCGCCACCGCCGCATGCCGTCGAGGAGACATTCGACGCTGCCGATGATATTGAGGCCATTTTATGTTTGAGATCGGGAAAGGTTTCTATAACTAGATCACGGAATTCCAATAGTGCTCCAACTTCATGTTGCAATTCCTGCAACGATTTTGTCTGTTCACTGTGGATATGATGCTGGTGGTGATGGTGATGACTGTTTGTTGCCACTGCTGGACCTGAACTTGAGTGGTGGTGGTGATTGGTAAGGCCGCCATAGCCACTGGAGTAGGGCAACGGGTGATTACCCAGTAAATGATGATGATTGAGGTTCATGTGATGATGATGTGGATAGGCAGCCGCAACAATGGCGGTGGGTGATGCTACAGTTACATTCACTGTATTGCTGGAGGCCATCAAGTGTGGATGGTGTGTACCCACGCCCACACTTAAAGGCATACAGTCCATGACACCTTGTACAGTGCCACCTGCTGATGTTACACCGCCTTTAGGGATGGTATTGTGCGTAGAATTGTTATTGTAGTTAATGTTGTTGTTGTTTTTACCACGCTGGCCCAAGTTATGGGATTCATTCTGAAAGTAATCGAAATAGAAAGAAGAGAATTAGTTATTTGATATTGCAGCAAATTGATAGATAGTCGGATAGAAATATAAATGATTACCAATAATTTAAATCTGGCTTATCAAGCTTAAAAAGGGGATAGGTTTTTCTATTACTTGACCCCATAGTTCATATTAGGGTTCATTTTTCTCAAAATGGCTTGTTAATCAGTCTATGTCAACCTACAATACCAAAGTTTCCAATAAGGTATGAAACGTTAATTGTTCATTTAAAACTATTATAGTAATGATATCATACAACACAAGAGAGGCAACAACAACAACAGCAAATGGTTATAAGTTCACTTGTCTCCCAAACCAAAGACATGACTATGGAGGAAACTTTATTAGCATTGAACGCCTACAAAGACTTATATTTATTCTGCCACACTTTGCCCTCCAAGTAGCTACGCTAGATGCGAAAAAAGTCAACTCTGTCTGACTGACTGTTAGTCACATTGAATGGGGGACACCGGTAATTGAGACTGTGTCTCCATCCCGACATAATTACACATTGAAATTGCAATATCTTAATTGCTGAATAACCTTAAGTTGTTCGTTAGCTCACTCGTTTAGACGCTGCTGTTGGGTGGACGGTATGCGCGCCGCCTATGGCGTTGTGTCTCATTTTTTGAAGTAGTTTGAGATGTTAATGAGATCGGCGAACAAGTGAGGCCCAGCAGTGGCCGGCGGCACAGACATTGTGGTGGCGAAACTTGATCTATTGGTCATGGGAAAATGTTTAGAAAAGGTTGAAAGAATTAACAATTTTAAAAGGCGTCTCTGGGGAAATTAAAAACTAATTTAAATAGTATAGTTGGGAGAGAATATTAGATTAATTTAAATAAATATTTTAAATGACCCTTTTTGCCGCGCGAGAACGGGTTTTTAGAGAGCGGAAGAGAGTACTATGTTAGCAGAACGCATTATTTTGAGATACACTTAGAAAGTGCTCTAATTCTTAAATGCTACATAAGTTCAACGTCACTGTGATAGCATGTGGTGTGGCACCAAAATAAAAAAAAAACAGCAGCAACCAGTGACATCGGTGGTATCGAAACAAATGCGAATGGGTTGCCCCGGTGATTTTTATTAAGGGAAAATATTGTTGTTTATATCATTTGGTGTTGGTTTTGTGAAACCAAAATAATCTACCATGAACGAGTTGTCACAGAACAATGGTCGCCAATGTGTGTTTGTATGTGACATTGGATATGAATGTATGTATGTAACCCTTAAAATAACAAATTGCTGGTGCTGCTGCTGGTGCAGCTGTTGCTGGAAATAATGACAATAAAATTAAACAAAAACAGAATTGTCATTACGATTGGAAAACACGTACACAGGTGAGGAGGTTTGTTCGGAAAACATTGATGGTTGCCCAGCAATGATGAAAATGTGGCATTGTTGGTGGGGGTGACCTGCTTGGCAACCGTAGATTACAATAAAAAATAACAACAACTACTACTACTACTACTACCACAGAAATCATTAGGTTTCATCATAGATACCTACAAACATACATACACAAATGCATACGTACATACGCTATGTGGCTAATTAAAATTTCGCATTAACAAACGACATGTTGGAAATGTCAATGTATGGATATCTAAGTATAAGAAAATAATGTAGATCGTTACCTAGATGGATGTAAGCTGTGTGTACTTGTATTTGTGTAAACATGTAATTAAATACTTACAATGACAAATGCCATATCAAAAATGTTAAATTCAAACATTATAACAGTGTACCAAAAATTGAAAAAAATCAACCACAAAATCATAATAAACAAAGTGTGCGAAAAATGTAGGGTCACACAGCCCCCCCTCTCCCCAACAACCATCATTTAACCGTAAAGACCCACAGACCCATTATTTAATTTGACATTGAAATGCAAATTCTTCGTGTTGGTCTTCTCTTGAGTTTTTATTAAGTGAAATCGAAAAAAAAAACATTTTTATATTACTAGTACTACAAATGCGGTATTGGAATCTAATTGGAACTTGGTTAGATTCAATCATTCAAGGTTCGAATGGAAACATAATAAATGAGGAAAATTAATGACAAGAACATTTTAAACGTAATAAACATGTCATAAAGAAGGGGTCAGAGTTAGATGAGGGTCAAACGAATGTGGGTTGCCAGTATTCATATTTTTAGGGAGCTTATGTTCTGAAATTGACATTATCTACATTTGAAACAGCTACAATCGTTCAAGACAGATATACGAGTACTGATTTGGGCTAAAAGCCTAAACAAGTGGACTATATCAAACTTCGATCTATACTTTACATGAAAAGAGATTTTCTACCAGCGTACGAAAACAAACAAAATAATTAATGTACTGCTCACACGAAGTCACAGCTTTGCAATTATTTTTAAGTTGTTTTTCAAGTTTTGCATTTGAAAATTGTAATGGTTTATGACAAAAGTTGCCTATGCAGGTCCACGTAGTCGTATAGGCCCTAATATAACGGCTACATTCGGTATTTTTTAGGTTTTAACAGACTTTTTAACGGATTTTATTATTATTATTATTTTTTTTTTTTTGAAAATTGCCAAAATCGTTCCAAATGGTGGAGGGTATTCAAAGATCGGCCCGGCCGAACTTACAGGTTTTTTACTTGTTATATTTAGTTTTTATTGGCAATAATTCCTCATCATTTCGACTTTTCTTAATTAATTTAAAAAGTATCTAAAAATATGAGTTTCAGAAATGTACCCCTACCATCGGGGGGAGGGTTATTTTTAGATGCGGATTTTTTAATTACTGATATATGACACTTACCACCTACACAAAAATTTGTTTAAAAATACATCCTCAATATTTTTTGAAAAGGGGCGTTTTTACTATTTGAAAAATCCAGCAGAGGGGCGAAATAGGTTAATTTTGTTAAGGTATGTTTCCCTAATGGGTCTCAGATCTGAAAGCGTATATCCCCCTAAAAACTGTTCCCCTATGTTTGATTTTGGCCAGTGGCAAAGAAAATGTTCTAAAGATTCGCCACTGAGTTTACCTCTTCGTAACCACTAATCTCTTTGCGATTTGAGGTATACTGATTCTTGTTGCAGTTCAATACCGTTCTTGACTTGACTGTATTTGACACTTGTTGGCCTGATGGCGTATTTACTGTCCGTTGGTCCCGTGTTAGTACTATACCAATTCGGAGACTCTGTCATTGCTGTGATTTCCGCCTGAACAACCGTAGTTTGGTAGGTGAAGAGAGGTTTCGGTCTCCGGGTCTTCTATAAGCAGGCATAGTCTGTTCTTTCCGGTTAGCATATTGGCTAAGTATTCGTTGTTGAAAGGGTCTCTGTCCGGGATTAGTGCAACTAATTTCTTCTCTGGTTTTGGTTTCCTCAATTGAGTCTCCCATAGTGACCTATATAACTGTTTGATGGGAGTTGTGAGACCTTATTTTTAATATGTATTTCCACTGGGTGTATAAAAAGAAAGCCCACATTCTTTGCATTTTTTGCAACATTTTGATATTGTGCTCTTTAATCGTTGTCCACTCGATTACTGTCGGGTATGTTAGAAAAGGTCTTATCACGCTTCTGTACCGCCAGTGAGCCATTTTTGAATTAAGTCCCCATTTTGAACCCATTGTCCTTCTACAGATTAAGCTGTATTTGTGAGCTTTCTTTGCTCTTTCGATACCTATTCCGGAAGACTGGTTTGTCCAGGTGCCTAGCAAATTGACAGTCATACAGTCAATTGAATTTTTAAAATTTGCTTTCAAAAGTTGAGATATTTAAACAGTTATTCGAACAAATTTAATTTCATTCAATAAATATATATTTTAAAATATAATTCAATTTTATGAAAAGAATATATTAAATTTTACTTTATTTTAATAATTTGAAGTTTGAATATGTGCCTATGTTTTTCCCCCATCCAAAACCCCTTAATAATCTAGAAAATGCAGACTCATGTCAAAGGGCAAACAAAAGACATGCTCTAAAATAACAAAAACAATGTTCCACAACAAATTTCTAATTTTTTATATCTTCATACATTTCAATGGAATGAAGTTCAATGAAGTTCAATTAACAATGGACGAACAAAAAGAAAACGAGACAACCATTCATAGATGATAAAAAGACGAATTAGAAAGGGGGCAAGAGTTGTGCTACTCCAAACAATGTTCTTGCATTGTATGAGAAAAGTAGAACAACAACAAAAAACAACATAAATTAATGACAAATGTACTTCTAAACATTATACTATAGCAGACAAGAACATATTGTTCCATTTTGTAATGACATTTCGTCAGTAAGCGTGTAAAAAAGAAATTTAATAGCAGAAGTTCCAACAATCAATGGAAAGTTAAGAGAATTTTCATTTACTTATCTTAAATATGGAAAAAATGCGTTCGTTCTTCTTCTTTGGTGTCTTGTTTTAATGTGTAACAGACACGCATTTGTCGAATGCACTCTATTCAATTGATAGTTCTTATACAGTGGGTGCCAATAAAAGGGTGTAAAGTGGCGATATTAAAAATAATAGAAAACTCCATAAAACAGAAACGATTGTAAATAAAAGCTTTTGCAAAGAAATATTATTAGCATAACTGCTGGTGTAAAACCATTTGATGACTTCACGTGAAAACCCACATATGGCGCTAACTGTATGTATGCAAATACCAAACTAAGAATATTCTTTCAATGCAAAAGAAATAATATCGATCAAACATTTATATTGGCAAAACTAAACAATAATAAAATATTATTTTATTTACGAATAAGTATAGCCCATATTGTTTATAAGCCATTATTGTTGGTACAATAAATTGGTTCTTGCGTCAATAAATTGAGACTGTATCCTGCTAGCGATAAAGACTAGAAATAAAGTAAAAAATGTGTACCTTAAGAAAATTATGCCCCGATAATTAATTATATTATTCAACCAATCGTTTATTTTACATTCACATTTAGCATCGTGTATCAATTTTCTATTCGCGTTAAGA